ACGCTAAGGTTCATCTTCCTGAGTTTCTTTTAACTCTGTAGTTAGTTTTCTATTTGAATGAAATTTATGTGGAATTGTGGCTTGAGTTTAGGCATTTTTATTCCCCTACAGTAAGTGGCTAGACCATTATACCTTAGACTTTAGTTGATATTGGATAATAGTTTTGTTATTTTTAAGATTTCTTGGCTTCGTAGAGGTGGATTCCTTTGTTAACTGATATATTTAAGATTTTTTTTTTTTTTTCCAGCAAGATCGGCTTTTCTATTATCTTAATAGGTCTGTAAGCGGGGAGTATCTTGTCCTCTCCCAAGGGAATTGGAAAAGATACAGAGGGTGCTCTTGATTCCAATCCGAATGGCTTTGGTACACTATGTTGATAAACTCCATTTAAACTTATTGATAATGTTGGGTTAAGTTGTTGAATATCTATTTTTTCACTAACTAATGTTGCTGCTTTATAAGTTCTCTAGTGTTTCTACAGATATCTTTGTTCAAATGATGTTGCTGCCATTTTCAGGTATCTTTTTGCCTGCAGTTCAATTTTTCTCATTTTAGGGCTATCTGTTTTGATATGTGGCATCATCATCTAAGTGTTCTACTTTGAGTACAGGTTCATCCTAGGAAAAGTTTTCCTACACAATTTTCTCTTTTTGTGTGTTTTGTCTTTGCAGCATCTGAGAGTTTTTGAGATTGTGAAGAAGACTGTTGTCGAGACAGCGCAGAATTGGCATAGAAGAATTTACCATATAGGAGAAGTGCGCTTATAATTCTTGAAGTGATTTAGGATGCGATTGGGATTGTAGTTGAGAGTTTTTTCTTGTAATTATACAATACTTTTAGATATATATGTATTTAGTAATTTTTTTTTGAATTATTTTTTTCAAAAATTACAGTTTTTAAAAAATTACAGAGGTTCACAGTAGATTTATAATAATTTTATGCATAAAACCATAAGTTTTATTTTGGAGTTTTTTACCTATAGTTTTTATGAATAATACATAATACGTAATATAATTTTAAAATTACCTATTAAAATTCAATTTCGTTTAATTTAATTATATCACAATTTATAATATTTTATTTAAATTTAACTTCTTATTTATTTTAGAATTTTATAAATAAATAAAAAAACATTTTCTCTTTATGAGTTATTTTCTCACAAAACCTAAAAAACAGCCATTATGAGAAACTTAAAAAACCTAAATTAAGAAATGATAAATGTTATCTATTTTAATAATTATATCTCATATAATATTTTTTAAAATTTTAATTCATAATTAATAAAATTTATCAAATCTTTTTATAGTATTTTTAAGAAATAAATAATCAAATACTAAAATAATTTTTAATTATAGTACAACATAATTTAGTGTAATTATAATTACAACCATAATATTTCATGATAATTCCATACGTACCCTTAGGTTTCAAGATTTTGCAATGTTATTTTGATTGATGTACATGATATACTATTGTAGTTTCATAGTTATATATAAATATGAAAATTAGACAGCGAAACACTCAAACCCATATAATTTTAATAAAATACTATAAAAAAAAAATTAAGGGTATGTTTAATGTAGACGAAAACTTTTGATAAAAATATTGTTTGAAAGAATTTGTTGTAAAAGTTTAAATTTTAAGAAGCTTAAGGCATTTCACAAAATTTTTTGCAAAAGTACTTTTAAAATAAAAAGTTATTTG